ACGGTTCGTGAGGACAAGCCGAGTCGTATGTTCAGTCGACACCAGAACCTTACACAGACCAGCGAGGATATGAAACTCCTCGTGAAGGTCGTTTTGCCCCTTCTGGAGCGCTACTTCTACACTCGCAAGTCCTACTTCATCGATCCCTACTCAGGCGCGTCGATTGAAGAGAAGAAAATGGCCACGATGTGAGTTTGGACTTAAAGTCGATCTGTGCAGTTCTCAAAAAGTATAATAGCACAGTGGAAAGGACATACTTAACCATACTCAGCCAGCCTGACTGTGAAACGTCTCGAGTTAATCAGTCATTTATATTGGCGAGGAAGGTGTTAAAGAATTTTCCTCCTTTACTTCCAGGCTCTTCACCAAGCTCTTTACTCTCTTGCGCCTGAAAACTCGCTGCTTTGGAGCAGATGTCAATGTGACCGTCTCCTGTCTCAAGTGCCTCATTGAATGTCTTGATATCAAAGCCATTGTGAAGATCAGCTACGCAGAGGACTTTGTTCGAGTCCGTCTCATGCCATTCTTCACTTTTTGCGCTGACGATTTGGGCCTCATTATCCGAAATCTCAACTCTGGAAGGTACTCTCATATCAAGGTGGGTAAGCGACGCCAAAGTTGCTGTACGAATTGATGACCTCTCTTTGCAATGGCTTCGCGTTTATTGTTCGGCTTTGGCAGGGCACAATTCGACGTGGGGCCTGCAGTATTGACTACCTGCACATGATCCTCCTGCCGACACTGAAGACGATGTTTGAGCACATTAGCAAGACGGGAGTGGGTGAGGATCTACTTTTGGGGCATCTACAGGTCACTTGTTCTCGCATCCTCAATGCCCTCTACGTACTGGGAACGACTAGTCAAAAGCACGCCAATCGCCCTGAACTGATGGAGGAGCTAAATAGGTGAGAAAGACATTTTGACCTCTTACAATATCGTTGCTGCTAAGAGGCAGTTAGTGGACGAGTTTTGTGCGCTCTCTTAGACACCGGCCAATGCTGGGTGAATGTCTGGCAGCCCTGACCACCTGTTTTCCGGTGGCTTTCCTTGAGCCCGAACTGAGCGCCCACAATCCAAGATCAATTGCCTACAACACAGAGGAGGCCGACTACTCCTTCGAAGCCAGAGGTAAGTCTGTTTCAATTGTGTAGTGTGGTTTAGGAGGAAAGGTGAGAAGTCAGTAACGGGGCACTACTTATCGCCCTCTGACTGGATTTCTGAACCGACTTGTCAAATTTATTAAATAACCCTTTTCAGTGTCAAAAATGGCGCCCTTAAGGATTGAGCAATACTTCATATTCCTTAATATCACCTCTGCCTTTTAGACCTGATTCAAAAGATTGGCAAGACCCTGCCCTCTCTCCACAACATCATTGATGACATCGTCCACCTAGCCGAAGCCGGTTCCAACGGCACCCAAGAACCCCATCTTATTGAAGTCACCCTTCCCATGTTGTGCTCTTACCTGCCAGTTTGGTGGCGCAAAAACCTTGCCCAACGCCAATACGCGCGCTGCCACCCAGGCTCAAAGGCGGCCGCCTTCTTCCCTGACAATGAGGAGTTCCTAGCTGCACTCAATACTGAAGGGGAAGGATTGCATGAACTTGGAGGCGGTGGCGGTGGTGACAGCGGCAGCGGAGGGGGAGACAACAATGATGATGACGATGATGAGGAGAAGGGGTGGGGTGCGGCCACGGGTCCGATTACTACGGTGACTGCGGATCTGATGAATCGTGTTTTGGGATCAGTGTTACAGTTGATCCAAAATAATATTGACAATAGTAATGCGCCGTGGATGACGAGGATCGCAAGTAGGTTTCATTTTTACGCCAAATTTTGTTTGATTTGTAACGTCCGCAATTTTCTCAAAATCCATGATAAGTAGTACCTTTATAAAAGAATATTTGGAATTTAATGTGCAGAAAAGCTGAGAGGAGATGAAAACAGTCGTGGAGGCTGAAGAGCTCGCATAAACTTGCAGCTGGCCACATCTAATACCTACATTAGCTTTTGGCTTTCCCCTTGGTACCACTGCAACGTATTCGAGGGTTTAGGTACCACGTACTTCTCAGAGTCGAGGATCTTCTATTGATGTTTCAAGTCATGATGGCATTTTATCAAAGTGGCAGCCACTAGAAACATTAAGGTGTCATTTGTGTGCTAGCAATATGTCACTGAGAGTAACAACACCGCCATCCTGCATTACATCTTTTTTGGCGTCTTTTTAAAGCACGAACACAACCCATTGTTGGCAACGCAACTGTTGACATGCTTGGAAAGTACTTCCTACCCGTCTCGGAGCGCCTCTTGGATCAGGCTTTCGCAGTGCAGAGTTGGGAGAGACGTCTGGGTGAGTGATGGTGCTATTTTGCTTTCTTACAAGCTGGCCTAAACACTACCTAACCTACCTCAAATCAGGTAATGAGACGGACAAAGAGGGCGATTTGACCGCTGCCTGCGAGTTGCTTGTGCGAAACATGTTCGCTCTGTATCCCCTTCTCATCACTTTTGTCGATCGGTATCGCACCGAGTGGCTCAAACAGCCCACCATGGAGGCTGATAGACTCTTCAATGCTGTTGCCAACCTCTTCCTCATTTGGAATGGCTCTCCGGTGAGTGGGAAAAAAACACTCATTGTGACTGCAATTGTCAAGAGTTTTGAGCATTGGTCCTTCCCCCATATTTGACAGAACTTCAAACGAGAGGAGGAGACATTCGTTGGAATTCATGAGTTGGATACTCTGGCACTAATAATGCCGACCGCTGAAAGGAGCACGCTTTCTGCTGATGTTGCTCCTCGCAGCCTCGCCCATCATCACACAAAATCCGGTCAGTTCTGATTGGTTGGTTATATGACGCTTGCCTAGTGATGTATTGAGGAAGTATTCCCTTTAATCTCTTTTTTTTTTCTTATTCTTGTCTAATCTCTCGTCAGGAAAGGGACCGAAGAAGGGTTTTACCAGTTTAATGGTTGCTTCAATAAAGCGTCTCCTTCCGATTGGTAAGCTAAACTACATCTCACCCTTACAGTTACACATCCTCTACATTCCCTTCACTCTCATTCCTTAATAAGGCCTTTGCGTTCTCGGAGGCAGGCAGCAAGAACTGGTTCAAAGAGCTAAGCGAATGTTCCTCAAGGTTAGTTTACTTTACCCCGAAGTAATTATCTTTTATTTAAGTAAGGTTTTATGCATTCATGATAGCTTCACTTGCTTGAGAATTGTACTACTAAAATAGTGGAGAGAGCCATTCCCGAATTCGAGTTCGCTCATGTCCCCTTTATTTGCTCTTGCCCCTGCGTAGAGGTCAACAGCATCGGTAATTCTGCCCCCTTCGTTTGCCACTCGCTTCCATTTTTTTCCCTTTGAAGGGTTTGCTTCTTCTGCTTCATCAATCTATTTATTCCCCCGTGTACACTACTTATTATTATTCAGCATACCAATACCAGAGGCGAAATGAGCACGTATTTTGCTGATTCTCATCGACAGGTGATGTACTGTCCTGTAGCCCAGTGTTGTAACTGATGATAACAGTAGCCGTCAGTTGCATGGCCAATTTGGTATTTTACAATTTCCATGCTAGCCGTTTAGTGTGCTTTTGTGTCCCTCCCCGCCTTA